TCCCTGAGGGAATATTGGCAGTTAATGGCTGTTGGGGTTGGGAGTGTCATTTTCCTCAGTGGTGTGGCCACTGATAAGTTGCTTTTGATCTGGTAATAGCCTCCTACACATGCTCAGGCAAGAAATTCTAATTAAATTCAGTGGCACACACACACACACACACACACACACACACACACACACACACACAAGGAGGAGGGGTATGTAAGAAGATTAAATTCGAGAGGGAGAGAGAGAAGTGAGAGAGCGGAAGGGAGAAAGAAAATCAAAAGGGGAATTTAAGAAGATTAAATTCCAGTGGGAGAGGGAGAAGGATGAGAGGGAACCGGAGAATGAAAATGACTAAACGCGATCAAAATACCTTATATACATGTGTGAAATTCTCAATAAAGTTTTTGTAAAAGTTAAAAAGAAAATGACTAAACTTCATTACAACAATGTATGGAGCTGTCAATAGAGGAAAAAAGAAAAACAAGAAAAGAAAACTTAGCTAGTTTTAGGGCATGTGAAAGATTCCGCAGCTTTTGGAGAATCTCCACTGGATTATAAAAGCTCATAAAACAGTACCTTCACCCTAAATGTTGTATAAACAAGAAAAATGTTCCCATTGTATTTCTCCTCCCTCAAGAATATTCCAAATTGCAGAACTGTGATTTTTGTGTGCTACCTGTGACCTTTTCCTCAAATCCAGAAGCTCTTTTACTGTGCACCAAGGAATGGGCTTTAAATCTTCAGAATTCTTTGGCTAATGCTGAATTCTGAAGATTAGTCTGAAAAGTAACTGTACTTGTTTTCCCTCCAGTCCAGTCAATAGTTTCTGGGATGGGGCTTGTTAGACGCTGATTACTAAACACTTGGCATCTGCTTTACCCCTAAGGGGAAAAAGAAAAGGGCTTCTAATTGCTGAGGTGAAACCTTGGGTCAATAAGCAATTCAAGTGTGTTCCCAGTTAGGCAAAATTCTTCTTATAGCTTTTATTAGCATATATTAATTATACATAAAATGGAATTCATTAGGCCATTTTCATACATGTGTAATTATTTTGATCATATTCACCCCTCATTATTCTCTCTTGTTCCCTCTCCACATCCATGGATCCCTTTCCTTCCCCCCACTGTCTACTTTTATGTCTTTTTTTTTTTCTTCTTCTGTGACCCATGCGTTTCACTAGGGTGGTTTACTGCCAATGGCTATGCCACCGAAGAAAATCTCTCTCCCTCCCCAGCAATTAGGAGTTAAAACTGCATCTAGATTTTCAGAGAGGGGAGGGGCCTTGTGACCTCCTCCTCTAACCATAGGCAAATTTTGACAAGTATCCTCCAATTGGTAGGAAAGCCTTTACAGACACTTGCTGGGTTATCCAGAGTGGCTGTCCATAAAGATCTGTTGGAAAGCTAGTGACACTGACCTTCAGGCAAGGAAGACCATCCCAGGAAAGAACCCGAATTTACCCAAGGAGGCTTGTCCATGGCACAGTGGGTCTCCACTGGGTTCACAGCTCTGTAGCATTGCTGAGCCCTAGGGCTGAGTTTGAGACTGACATTTCTAATTGCAAATACTGTTTCTTTGGGTATCTTCAGAGAAAACTCATCCATCTTGTCCATTCCTACATATTCAAACTCTGGCAGCACACTGTTTGTATCTGAATACATAATACAGCCCCTACGTTTCTGCATGTGCTGTCTGGACCAATGGTGGGACGCTGTCAACACAGAGACACTGCTCTGACTTCCACCTCCATGGCCAGCTGATCACACTACTTGAGTTTCATAATGAAAGATTTGCTTATATTTCTCAGCTGTTCCACTCTATATTTCCCCACTAAAAAACACCAATTTTATTAAAACAAAACTAGATTTTCCAAAGAGGTGAGAAGGCTGGTTTTTGTATTTTCTGCAATCTCATCAAAATGGAGGAAGAACTTGGAAAAAATCCTCTGGCTTCATTTGCTTTTAGTTACTTGCCTTTAAAATAAATTTTAGGTGCTGGAGAGATGGTTCAGCAGTTAAGCGCACTGGCTGCTCTTTCAGAGAATTCTATTCCCAGCATCCAGATGGTAGCTAACAACTGTCTGAACTCCAGTTCCAAGGACCTGACGCCCTGTTCTGGCTTCTCCAGGCACTGCATGACATGGATGTACTCATACATACACACAGGCAAAACACTCACACACATAAAATAAGAGTAAATACAGTTAAATAAATTTTAGAGGTCATCCACCTAAGCAATAGCTTTGATATACTTATGAACGCTGATCGATGGACCCTATGATAGTAACGGTTGACTGAGTTGTTTGGCAGGAAACTGGGTGTAACTTTTGTCACACCCAGCTGAAGCCATGAACAACCCTTCATTTGGGCATATACTAGTGTCTGATGGGTGAAGCTTTGGTCCTAATGCCACCATTTTCCACAACATTTTTCCTATGAAGTCATGAAGTGGGATTATGTGGGTGTGAACCAGTGGTCACTTCTTCTTACCTCCAATCATTTTCTACATGCCTTTAGACCACACTGCGTCTTAATCCCACAGATACCCTATCCTCAGAGAGAGGAATTTCAGACTTGGGGCATCCTCTTCCTCATGAATCAACTCTTTTGACAAAACATTGTTTCAGTGAGTGGTACAGTGTGCAGTGAGAAAGGAAGCCTTGTTCAGTGGCATCCTTAGGTTCTGGTTTAGATTTGCACTTACACCTCTGAACTCAGTTTACTGAGGTATATTGCTGGGTTGAAGTATGACATGTAACATCTGACATGATCTGACATGATACATGATTGTTAAAGGGAGACACATTTCAGTAGTTTATTTAGACAATTGTGGATTTTTTTAGACTATCCCCAAACTGCAGAAGTGCTAGATTTTTGAGGCTACTTGTAAGAATCTGGAATCATACAAACAATCTTACCATACTTTGATAGACTAGAACCTGTTTGTCTGTTTTCCATATTAAATGGGTGATTTTTGTGATATCTTAAATTAATTACTTTGAAAATATTAGTTCACTGAGTTTCACAGATCTTCCAAATGTTGAAACATTTCATTTTGCTGCATCGAAAAATTCATTAATATCCTTACTGACTTCATTAGACAAATACAGGCACTGAGATAGAGCCAACCTCATGGGGGTTGATACAAACTTTACAATTCTGTTTGCTTTAAAAGCTCAATTTTATCTTTGGCAGTAAACCCTATCAATGACTTGATGTTGTAGGCTCTACTTCCTTCACTTTAGAGAAAATTTCTTCCCAATAACTACCCTAGTTAGCTTCAACTGTCACCTTGACATAGCCTAGAGTCACCTGAGAAGGGAGTCTCAGCTGAGGGATTGTCCTAATCAGATTGGTGTGTGGGTGTGTCTGTCGGAGGGGATGGTCTTGACAGTTAACTGATGCAGGGTGACTGGGCCAATTGTGGGTGGCACCATCCCTAGGCAGGTGGTCCTGAATTGTAAGAGAAAGTTAAGTGAGTATGAGCCTTCCTGAGAGCGAGCCTACAAACTGCTTCCTTCATGGTTTCTGCTTCAAGTTCCCACCCCAGCTTCATACAATGATGGACTATTTTCTCCCCCAAGTCAGAGCGTTTTACCACAGCAACAGAAAGGAAACTAGAACATTCCACAAGTGGGAGTAACCATGGCTTATCTTTCTGCTTTTCTTTCAAGTAAAAACGGTGTTCTGTGGAAATGTGGCTGGCTTAGCCTCTAGTCAAAGCACTGGCCCCAAAGCCTTTTCTCCAGATGTGGAGAAAGAAGCTTTGCTTTAGGCAGATGAGCTCTGTGTGCACTTCGCCGCACCTTTCTCATGCAGAATAGAGAGGCTAGTGTGACAAATATTAAATCACCAGAAGAAGAAAAAGCTATCTCCCAAGAAAAGCTCTTGGGGAAACAATGTATGATGAACATGTGTGAGTATGGACCTAATTTAGATAGGATGTCTGAGAAAATGACATTTTGAGAGTAAGGGGACATTCAGTGTGTCCAGATGCATACAAAGGCCGCTGACTGAGAAAGAGTGGAAGAAGGTCACAGGGTTGGAGCAGCTGAGCCAGGAAGCGGGGCGGGCTGGGTAGCTGAAAACTGGTAGACAGGACTAGCTTGTGCCCGGCCTGGTAGATCATACCTAGGACTCTAGGCTTGCTAAGTTGGGGAATTACTGAAATGTTTGTTACTGTGAAATGACTGTGGTTTTCCAGCTGTCCCATTACTATGGACACAGGGCTGACACTTTATCAAAGGTTGCCCAAGTACATGGAGGAAGGAAGTAGGTGGCAATTGATGTGGTCCAGACCATCACAGTGGTTGGCTTGGGAAGAATCCACTAGGACTATAGAAGATTGAGCACATCTCACAAATAATTAAATTATATCAATAGGGTTTGGAGACTGATGGGGAGAGATGGTAGACATGGAGGTGCTCAGAGTCACTTTGTTTCTCTCTCTTTGGTGGAAGTGCACAAACAGAGGGAACAGAGAGGAAGAATTGTAGGTAAGGAGGAATGTAATGAGTTTGGATCTTGCCATACTGAACCTGAGCTCCTTGTGAGACAAAGTAATGAGAGCCGACCTGAGTCTGACCCTTGGGGAAGAATCTGGATGGAAACAGATGTGACTGCTGATACCAGGGTGATCTGAAGCCAAGTGTGTGATGGGAATGATCTAGAAAGGGAGTACAGAAGGGAAGGGACTCAGGAGGAAGCCCACAGTGACTCTAACAGGTGCAAATTGGGAGAGGTGAAAGGATGGCCAGAGAAAGAAGGAAAAGCAGAATGTATTGAAAAGAACCAAGAGAAGAAGGACTGGAGAAGGGGAAGAGTGGACCACCTGGCCAATGTCCTCGCCATGGCAACAGAGGTGAAACTCAGAGGCAGAAACATGGAGGGCACGGGGCCCTAAAGGACCAGCCTGGGGAAAGCAGCGAGGACTCTGGAAAGAGCAGCTGTGGGAGATGAGCTGGCAGCAGGAGGAGCATTCAAGGTCCAGGGAAAACTCTCAGCTGGGAAGTGAGAGGCCAAGAGGGTGGGGAGAGGAAAGACACAAACTGTGACACTGAGATCTGGAGAATGGCAGTGGGGTTGGGAGTGGGTGGAGAACAGTACTGACGCCTCTTAAAGGACAGACCCACCTTTTCCAAGAGGGTAAGTGAAACAGAACAGGAGGACTGGATGGTGGGAAGTTAGGGAGGGCTTTCTATCTGGGGCTGTATTAGGTTCACAGGGTGAAATTCTACGGGTGACAGGAGGAAGGGCTGGGAGGGGAGAGGAAAGGTGGGGGGTGCTGTAGGAAGTACCAGTCCTGGGAACAGCGGGGAATAGAACACTTCCAAGAAACCCAGGATGGCCAGGGCAGGCTCCAGGCTCCATTGAAATTGCTGGGTTGAAAGCAGAGCCATCTGCTATGCCTGAATGGGATCTGGTTATTAACCACTCAGTGCCAACTCTGGGCAGCTAGCCAGGGCAGAAGGGCATGCTTAAGCTTTGAGTCAGTTTCCTTGTATAAAGCTCAATGATTTTGTAAGGCTCAAAACTCCAGAAGTTCTTCTCTGCTCTAATAAACAAGAAAATAAAAATCTCATAATATTATACAAATAACTCATTGTGGTGCATAGAAATAAAAATAAATTACCCCAACCAATGAGTTTAGAGGACACCAGTGGCATCGCAGGCTAGAGGTGGGGTGGCTGGAGGGAGGTACTAAAGGATGCCTAGGCTGGATTAATATGCATTAACATGATTGATCTTTTCTTAGAAATAAATCCATATTTTATACATATAGTACGTTCAATTTTTCACAGAAAATATGGAAAGAGATCCTGGAGATCATGTGGAAATGACAAGTCAGAAGTCAGTCCTCCTAGGTAGATTACCAGCAGAGCCTGGAGGGAATGCACCTTGACAAAGTCCATAGCTGCAGGCTTCAAGGAATTAACCTCATTCTGGAGTAAGTGTGTAAAGCCTGGTGTGACCAAATTTGCATTTGTGGAAAACTCAGGTATCAATCAGGGAGCTTGAGGGTCTCCCTCCCCTCCCCT